GTTTTATTGATACGGCATATAAATCAGCAGTCTTTAGCTTGGTCTTCACCAAAATCGAAAGATATTCGCACAACGACGAAAATGTTACGAAAACAAAGCAAAAAGGGGTCGTGCAGCAGATAACACCATTGAAATTGATAACGATGAAAGACGTTAATAAGAAGCGAAGCTCTTTAGTATTCAAGGTGTTGAGGGAAACGTAATGGGTATTAATGACACTCTGCACATGACTGTGCTGTGCGGGAGAATATACTGAGAAATTTAGAATGGAAGGATGTACAGTGAAGTTTTTCGCTCCAAAATAGCATGAAAAGGATGCTCTGAATTCGGTAATGTAGAGTTCAAAAACGGAAAGAAATGTTTATAACGCTGCTGTTTCAGAGAGACGCAAGAGTCCTTCAGAGAACATTTCTGAGATTACTAAGTAAAATTCAGGTAGTTCGAATAACTCCGAAATCTCACCTTTGGAAATGAATAAATTACAAGAGTGGCGTAATGAAACAATGGCATAATAGTATGACTATGGTGCAGACTTATCTTTCTATGACTTCTGCAGGATCTCTGAGCCTTCGAAGCATCAGAGTTCGAAACTGGCTGTCTTTAATTTGCTATTTGATATTGCATGAGACCTGTCTCTGCCAACTAATAAACCTTAGTACGTTCACCTTAGACACTAATTCAATGCAACTGAGCTGATTTTAGCTCCCTCAGTCTGCAGAAACAAGGAGAATCGAATAATAATTTTCATTCAATAATAGGACATGGGGTTGAAGAACAAGTTGTTTTCAACAGGAAAACAGCAGAAAAGGCTTATGTATACTTGAATGACAATAAGATCCTTCTGCCTTCCTTTGGGTCTCACAGCGGTCATGTAGTGATGAAAGCATAAACATGCGCCGCGAAAGTGAATACTAAGAAAATTTGTAAATATGCAAACAAGTCATGCGACTGACCGACGAGACTAACCACTAAACAACTCAAAGAATGCTAATAGATAAGGTCGAGTAAAACTTCTTCTGATCCCTTCGGAAAACCAAAGTCAGTCAACAGTAGGCAAATATGAATCTAGCGGGTCCATGTTGACGGACAAATTGTTGTGGTTGTTGAGAGAAATATTACGAAGTATGGTGTTTTTGAACAATTTGGAGCATTTGAATAATTGAAGCTAGTCTTGACTAGTTTTTTCTAGCACACTAACAATGGAGTTTTGAGGTACACAATTATATCGGCGGATATTCAGTTTTTTTCAA